ATTATAAAACCAATAGTCTTCTGGTGCGACACGACATGCCACACCATAGTTATTTACTTCAAACACGACACACAGATTTAATTTATTTATATATAGTTTATATATATTTATTAATTTATTTGAGAATGCCAGAAATCTATTACTGTGCCGTACAGTGTGTGAGCATGTTTTATAGTTCAAAATTTAAGATTGAGTGTGATGCGTTTCATCTGTAATTATTAGAAGAGTAGCTATAAATATTTTGTTTCCTCTAATTAAATATTGTTATCATAAACTTGCTTTCTTGCAAAGAAAATAAATTCAATTTATTTATTATACGTACTTATTTTCCTTTATATTGTGAGTAGTTTTAGCAATTACAATAAAAAGTAAACCACACGTAACATATATATAAGTGGTTTATTTTTTATATTGAATATAAAAAATATTAAAATAAAGATGAGTTTAGATTCCACTACATCACTATCGAATTGAGGCGCAAATTCATTGAGGCACTCACAGTACTTGGTATCGGTACAGACATAGTTTTTGTAGTATCGCTAAATGACTGATTCACAGACTATTTAGACACACAGACTGTGAACATAGTCTAAATGTAAATAAAGCTAATAATACATTTTGGAGCATTCTTTCGCTTTACGAAAAGCCCCACTTAGATTTTATAAAAAGCGGCTATCACACCTCTCCTTATCTCATTCTGTGCTTTTCTTTCTGTTTGCAGCTTTGAAGTTGTGGATAGGCTTGACGGGCTTGACATAACGTTTTGACTTTTTGATTGTCACTGTTTTCGTGTTTGTGATTGCACTCGCACGGAACTCGTTTTTCGGCGAATTTGGTGATCTTAAACTTGATGAAAGTTTTCTGTGTATTTAGCAAAGAAAAATCTTATTTTATTTAACTCAATCGTCAAAAGAGCAAAGAATTATCAAAATGCTGGACGGAAAACAAGACAATGGAAATGTTGATAGTGTTGATACTAAACAAAGAACCAACGGTGGTGGTGATGAAGGCGACGCTCTGGGGAGTCATAATTCCTCGCAACCAACGCGCTATGCGAGGATGCCAGTGGATAGAAACGCGCCTTATTACAATATGAATCATAAATATCGCGGGATGGCCATTATTTTCAACCACGAGCATTTCGACATTCATAGCTTGAAGTCGCGTACTGGCACAAATGTAGACAGTGACAACCTATCCAAAGTCCTCAAGGGCTTGGGATTCAGAGTGACAGTGTTGAATAACTTAAAATCGGATGATATCAACAAATACGTCCAGCAGACTGCAGACATGGATCATTCTGACGCCGACTGCTTACTTGTTGCTGTTTTAACCCATGGAGAGTTAGGAATGTTGTATGCCAAAGATACTCATTACAAGCCAGAGAACTTGTGGTACTACTTTACTGCTGACAAGTGCCCCTCTCTAGCTGGAAAACCTAAGCTGTTCTTTATTCAGGCTTGCCAAGGTGACAAATTGGATGGTGGTATTACTCTGAGCCGCACTGAGACAGATGGCTCGCCTTCTGCTTCCTACAGGATTCCCGTACATGCCGACTTCTTGATTGCCTTTTCTACTGTACCTGGATATTTTTCTTGGAGGAACACTACTAGAGGTTCATGGTTTATGCAGGCCTTATGTGAAGAGTTACGCTATGCAGGTACCGAGAGGGACATCCTGACATTGCTCACATTTGTGTGTCAGAGAGTAGCTCTTGATTTTGAGTCAAACTCTCCTGACTCGATGATCATGCACCAACAGAAACAAGTTCCTTGCATCACCAGTATGCTCACACGCCTACTGGTCTTTGGTAAGAAGTAATCCCATTAATATACTGCCTTGTTGTTCTTGTACCTATGTTAGGTATTCAAATGTCTTGTTAGCTATACAAACAATTCCTTGTCTAAATTAGTAAATAATGTTCAATGGCTGTTCAAAATGTTTTAATGGTAGATGCATTTTAAGATTTGTATTTGATATTAATTTTGGTTCTGCATTTCTTTTTTAAATAATTCTTTATAATCTTTTGGCTGCCCAAATGAAATAATGGTGGTTGTTAGATGTATATTGTAATGCCATGTCACAAATTATGAAGGTAGAATACTTACCTAATGTGCTAGTGATATATAAAGTTTAGGTAATTAGAAACAAAATATGTATTTTTTGCTCATTTTTATAATAATGAGTGCACAAACTATTAAATTATATTTCATAATGTTATGTATTTGCTCAAATAATATAAAAAGGAAATACTTGTACTCCCAGCCATATGTTTGAAAGTATTCTTTGATTGTATTGCATGTTTTTATAACAAAAATGATTGAGATTATATTACTAAAGTACTTAATAGAAAATATTTCGTAATCATGAAGTGAATAAAGAACAGACTGAACATGAACAAAGGAATCAATTTCTATAGCAACTGTACATATCATATATGTCAAACACCTTTATGTTTCTCCTAGGATAAACTTGTGTTGTAATAACTTATAAATTGAATGAGCTAAAGATCTGATGTCAGCCATGTTACCTATTTTTGTTATGTTTTAGTATTTTTTTTGCATTATTCAAAACTGTAGGCAGACCACCTATGTTAAGACATTTATTTTTAATAAGAGCATTTATTGTTGTATTAGTTGTTAATAGCACAATAACAATTTTTGCCAATTTTACATTAAGTAGATGTTAGTTTTGTTTCTTATTTTTTTTGTCATCTGGCTTGAATGAAAATGTTAAGTATTGCATGCCCAAGTGTCATAATAAAATTTTTAATGATAACATGTTTAAAATATCTGTAATGCATTATATTATAAGTATTGTAATAATAAAACTTGAATATTAAAATTTTGGATTCAGGTATGTGATAATGGCATCAATTGACTGATTTATGTACTTTTAGTGTGAATAAAGTATCTGTGAGGAGATAATTACCATGGATTTTTATATTAGAAATATAATATTTTAGTTATCAATATATTAAAATTGTGCCTTGTTCAACTGTAAAAGTATTGTTGAAGGAACACAGATAAATGATGGATCTTATTTAGTACTCTAGCTCTCCTCATAGACTTTTGATGCAATGATATGACTGGTTTGTATTTTTTATAATAAATGCTTATATATAGTAAACTATAAGCAATAAATTCTTCCATTCTCAATGTGTTTTCTTTTATTCTATTTATATATTATTATTAGCAAACATTTTCTGTTGGCTGAAGATTAGAACTGTGACCTCTAGACATGATATCAAGGTCATACATTTAGAGTGCAGACTTTAATAAAAAGTGAATTTAATAGATATAAAAATATCATCATATCTAAGGAATATGTTTTTGCATGTGAATACAGTAAGCAGTGTGTATGGATGGAAAATCATAAATGCCGTCTCTCGCTCTGGGCCAAGCAAAAGGCCCCGAAAGGGACTGTAAAGAGTCAGAGTGAGTGACTTTTTAACCGACTTCAAAAAAAGGAGGAGGTTCTCAATTCGATTGTATTTTTTTTATGTTTCAATTTATTTTTATTTATTTATTTATTTATGTGTACGGGGAATCGCATTCCGAACGCGCCTTTATGAGCAACCAAACCACTACAGATTGAGCTCACTAGGGCTGATGTCCAGCCAGGGTTACGGGTGGAAGAGTTGTTACGTACCGCTGCCCCGGCTAGGCGCAGGAGAAGGAGAAGAAATGGAAACTTAGTCATTACGAGGATGACACTTCTAGCTCCACTCGGGATGGTATAAGTATGCAAGCCTGAGTGTTGTCGCGGACAGACGGCGAGTAACTCTTGCTGGCTGTCCGCATACCCGCGCTTAGGGTGGCCGGAGTTATAGTTACTTGTGCTTGACTGCTTTGCAAAAGGAGCAAAGGCTTCCCAATTCCTCTCGCTGCCATGGCCTTTACTAAGACTGGGCGCGAAAGGTCACTACTGCCGATCACTTTCCTGGGGACAAGGCAGACCAAGCCGCCCACACGGTGGCGCCAAAGGGTGGCTTGCAGTATGCTTACTTCAGCCCACCGTATCTTTCGGGTGGTCCTCACTGTGACGACAGCCGCGCGTTTAGAATTAGGTACCTACCTACCTTCCGAAACATTCATATGCAGTAAACACAACCTACGTCTCAGGCGGAAAGTGAGAAAGCCTTGGCGATTCTAAAACAACTCCTCAAAAAGGGGACTTGCCGCTATGATTACATGATATCTATCTAATAGCGAGCCCGGCTCTGGTTTTACAAATTACCCATACGGTTCCTATTATTTGTCTTCCTTTTAGAGCGAGGTACCTAATTTACGTAACTAATTATGCATTTACAGAATGCATTCATGGCAATTTTTTATTCTTATATTGGGCTTTACCTAAAGTCTCGAAAATAAAATAAAATGATGTTTAAAAAAACGCCTTAAAACTGAAAAGCAAAAAATAACTAAGGTACCTAGGTAAGTATATCCTTATCCTACCTACCTAGGTAGTTCGTTCATTAACTATATACAGGTAGTTCGTTCATTTATTATTTAGATTGGAAGTCGGTGTTAGGCACTCAGGCCGTCTTCGAGTACATCGCTGTACATAAATAGTTACTACGTATATCTATCTAGGTAGGTAGGTAGGTACACGTAAAACTCTATTTTTATATTGGTAAAAATATCACTAGTCTACTAATTAAATGTTTTTTTTTGCAAATCCCATTAAAATCAGTACTTATAGCAAATCCCGAGATAATCGTGAATTTCAAAATTAATTGTTTCATTGTTTCAATGAATATGAAAAGAATTAAATAAGTAAATTATTTCGAGGATAAGGACAATGGTCAGGGAGACTGTTACCAGAAGAACAAAGATGAAACAATCTTAGCTTAATGAAATAATTAAAATGATGAGGTAAAAAGGCACATATACTTTGATTCATTTCTGTTGTTTATAAAATATGTACCTACCTATGCCAATTTTATCTTGGTAACACATTTTATTAATCATTAATCATGGTAACACAAGCGCCAACGCGCTCGACGTGCTTCCCCTTGTTAAATATGATTTTTTTCAATGAATTACGTCATATGGTTGGCTATAAATGTCATATATAGTCAGTATGTCAGTCAGTTTTAAATTGCATTTTGAAGTGTGCAGATTAAAAACTAGGTTATGATTAGTCATTAACTTGTCATTAACTTCTAATATTTTATCAAACTCTTGGGAAATATAGAAAATGGCACATAGCAGCACTAATGGAAGCCAAGTCAGCTGCGCTGAATCATTTAATTCATACAAAAATGAATTTTACGACATGAACCACAAGTATCGAGGTAAAGCCATTATTTTTAATCACGATCGATTCGATATCGATATCCCACCACGAGCCGGTTCTCTGAAAGATTGTGATAATTTAGAAGAATGTTTAACAGCGTTGGGATTTAGTGTTGATATATTTCATAATTTTAAATATACAGATATTATGAAACAGATTGAACAAACAGCTGAGATGAATCACTCCAAAAATGACTGTCTACTCATCATGGTTTTAAGCCACGGAGAATCGGGACTACTCTATGCCAGAGATACCCACTACAGAGCAGAAAACTTATGGAGTCCTTTTACTGACGCAAAATGTCCCACGCTCGCTGGTAAACCAAAGTTATTCATGTTTCAAGCGTGCCAAGGCGATAAATATGATGACGGAATCACACTAAAACGAGAGACCGAGACAGACGGCTGGTATGAACCTCATAAAAATCCTGTTCATCCTGATTTTCTGCTTGTACTTTCTACCGTACCCGGATATTTTGCGTGGAGAAACCGTGACCGTGGATCCTGGTTCATTCAAGCCCTCTATGAAGAATTAACCTATACAGCAGAAGACCCTATTGATATCTTGACTCTACTAACTTATGTGTGTCAAAAAGTTGCATTAAATTTTCAGTCTGAGACATCCAATGATGTAACTAATTATAAAAAACAAGTTCCATGTATTTCAAGTATGTTAACTCGTCGTCTAGTCTTAGCAAAAAAACCGAATGGGAAATCAAGCAGTATGGATAGTTTTCTTAATAGCTTTAAAAAATGTTCATTTAACTTCGAATAGATGGGCCTGACCTGGTGCTTCATTATAAAGCAGGCAATTATTATTAGATATAATTATGTTTAAGTACAGTTTTAGAAATGAGTATTGTCATAGTTACGTAAACATGTAAAATAAGGTCAAGGTCGTTAAACCTAACCTAACAATATAGCTACTACGGGCGAGAGGTGACTAGAAGAATTTATTAGGTAGGTACTTACGGTTTTGGTATGTCTGCCTAAACTGGTTAAAACAGGAAACTTCACAGATAGCTACACATTTGATTTTAGATTTACTTACCTAGGTACTGCAGATTATTGCCCCCGTTAAAAAAACACCGTCAATGTTCGAATTAAGCTCTATTTGGAAAACCATAAGCATTACCTGTTAAAACAATAGCTGGTTTTAAAAGCCCATACGGTAGGTAGGTACCTACTTAAATTAAGCACCTAGTCAAGTAGTCACCTTTGTACGTAGATAAAAGCCGCTAGGAACCTATTTAGGTATTTTATTTTTTATCTAAATATAACGTACCTAAATTAGGTATTTTTTTTAGTTTTTATCTAAATACCTAAATTAGGTATTTTGTGCTTACAATAAATGAAATTGTTTTTATTTATAACATGAAATTGTTAATAAAATGTATTTTGAATATGAAAAATAATATTTTTTTTACTTTCCTACCCATTTACTGAATTAGTAAATTAAGTTAAAAAGTACATAAGTACGAGCATTGTATTTTTATATAACTAGTAGAAATCCCTAACTCCTAAGTCCGATACAGTTGTACCTAAATCCTCTGATGTTATGGTGTTTCTGGCCATCAGGTTCATCTGCTCGTTTGCCAAATCCCAAAGAAAAAAGTCGAGTCGAGATCGAGTTGTCCCCGTCATCGTGGTGAAATTAATTTTACACACTTCGAATTCGAATGATGTACTGAACCCGAATAGAAAGTCAAGTTCGATTGAATGGTCGGGAAAAGTAGGTAGTACCTACCTAAGACCTACCAAAATTTTCTGCACAAAAATTGTGCGTGGTGTTTCAATGACAAAAAGCATGGGGCTACTGGAGAAAACAGGTACATAGGCAAGTAGATAGATACATAACATACCGTGTTACCTGTATTTAAACAAATACAAATACACATGTTTGAGTAGGTACCTAAATCACATTTAATTAATAAAACTACATTTCCAACAATAATTGTAAAATTTATTTAATTAATACCTACTAATATATTTTATCAAATGTGCCTAATGAGTCTACTCGTACACATTACGGCCCTGAACGACCAAGGTCATGAGTTCGTTGACATATTGCTATAAAATAAGGGCGCAACACTACACTACAGAGGTCATTTGAAGATAGTTAACAATTTACCGGTTGGTACCTATTATTACCCCCTTTTTTGTGAGGGGAAAATCATCAAATGTCTTCTCAAGTGTCAGACTCTTACTGACTAAAAACCCCCCGTTTCTTCTCCTGCTTTAAGCCGAAGCCGAGGTGACTTATTGCGCTTGCCCCGCAATGCCGGCACTGGAATGTACTTAATCACTACCTATTTAATATCAACATTAATATTTCCATTATCATTACCTACTAGTTAATTGTACAAAGGAAACAAACATGTTATTATTAATACCAATAAAATTAATTTCCGTATGTGTATGCATACGAAACCAAGTACCTATGTTGCAAACACTGCGCTCGGCCTCACAAAATAATTGCGTGAAACAACTACTACTTAAGTACGTTGTGTTTTGTCGTTTGAGTGAAGTTACCGGAGAACCAATATCCCTATCACTAATCTTCAAATACCTTAATCTCAATCCACAAATTCCTAATTGTGGTTGTGGGTGTCCATGGGGGGCGCCGATTGCGCCACCTGCTCGGTTGCAGCCCCAGTAAAAATACAACCCCAAAATCTAATGAATCAGATCAAATTACTAAAAACAAAGTCTAGATCTTTTAGACAAACGAGGAAAAGTAAAAATTACGAGTTGATACGAGGTGACGTGTTTATAGACAAAAATAGTTGTTGTGAACAATTTAGTATCAGTTGGCAACTTGACAAGCGCAAAGCGCAAACATGACCGCTGACCGTGGCATCCGTAGGTAGCTTAGGCATTTCTATTTACCGACACAGATGCATTTTAATTATAGCAGACACGATAACAATTATTTAACGAGCAAAATATATTTATACTTACTGAAAATATGTGGTGAACACTTTTCTACAATACAAATACTTTTTTCAGATTTAGGCACAGGTGCACAATTCAAATGTAACACCAATCTGTCATCAGTCTCATAGCACTTATAGAGGCCCAGGCCATAGACCACCAGACGATGTTCAGCTGGGGTTGCAGGGCAAGCACAATAAAATACCGCGGCCTCGGCCTAGAGCAGGAGAAGGAAACGGGGTGTTTTCAATCAGTAAAAGTCTGACACTACCTCTCATCTCTTCCTCTCTCTCTTGCGAGAGGGAACTCTTTTGATGATTTTCCCCTGACAAAAAGCCCATTTGACACAATTTCGTAATCTGAGCTGCTGCTGACATAATTCGAGAAATAAAATTAGAAAAAAAACTTCGAAAAATATTTTTGAAGAAAATATTTTAAAACTAAACAAAAAAAAAATCCAAATGGAATTAATAAAATATATTCAACAGTAATCATTTATTAACACGATAAGTATTTGGCTTATATTAACAGTCCTGCATTCGTGCCTTTTCCCGCATTTCCCAGCACTGATCCCAGAACTGACTGAGTCTTTGTTCTTGATTTGCACAGAAATGTTTGAAGTCCCTTAGCATTCTCATTTGGAAACCTTCGTCGCCCGTTGCAGGTGTCTGTGCATATTTCCACTTTTTCGATATCATGTGATTCCAAGACCAGAGGAAACCCATCTGAAATAATAGTGAAGACCTATTTTACCACAATTATTATACTAGTAACACATTTTATTAACATAATGATCAGCCTGTAATCGTCTCACCAAAGGGCTCATTTTACATGGAGAAGAAACAAGCATTGACCACCACGCTTGATTCATAAGGGTTGATATATCGTATGGATAAAAAATAAAATTTTGGGTACTACTAAATTATACTTTTTTATTATATGGTAAATATGTCAAATCTGGTAGTAAAGACGAACGGAAATTCAAATAAAAATTGTGGGACGGACAGGGTCTTAGTTAAAGGTATGGATAGATTATGATCGTCGTGCTTAATTATATTATGATCAGATGCTTGAAGGTAATAAAAGCTGATGAAAATATAATCAATTTTTTAAAATTATTTTTGTAACGCATGTCGTAATATTTTGCAGTACAAACATTTTTAATAATGTTTTTCTCTAAATCTCTATTCACTTAAAATATTTGTCGTCAAGTGTCTAAGAGGAAAGACATCTGAATCTGAGCAATTTGGCAACATTTTTTGTTTTCGGGAAAGCCCCAGGAAAACTCTAAAGTAACAAAAATTTGTGAAAAACAAGCTTTTTCGCAACAACTAATTTTATTTATTGCTTTCTCGTCGTACTGAATCGTAAATTTCTAAAAATAATAATACAGAAATGTTTTTGGGATGTGATACTAGTAGTTTCCATCTGTTTCATATGTGAATTCTATCCCTAAATATTTATTTATTTCGTGACCTTAGGTAGTTCATAAATTTTGTTAAAATTTATGAAGGATTGGGCTTCCGGTATCCTCACTCATACGGCGAAACAACGCTGTGGTTGTTTCACGCTGGTTTTCTGTGAGGCCGTATCACTCCGGTCTAGCCAACCCATTTGTGCCGAAGCATGGCTTTCCCACACTTAAACTAACCTATTTGCAGATTTGCTTACAAGTGATAGAATTTTCACTCATTTTTTACAGAACTTTAGATATTCAGTGTGGTAGTGTAGTAGAAGTGATAGCATGGCCTTACAGAAAACAGACCTTTATTTTTTTTTTTTTACCAGCGCTTTCGTCTTTTTTTACCGTGTAAGTGCGGTTACAGGATGTCCAATCCTCAATTCCTTCACACTTAAATCCCTAACAAAGCTGGTAATGCTAAAACGGCTTTTTATCAAAATAGTTTCAATTTAAAAAAAATCGAAAGAGTTAAAAATTATAAAGAGTTATTTATCCCCTCCTCCTAAGCCCGGCCAAAAATGTTCCTAAACTAATGTACACATATTCTTTATGTACCCTACCACCTAAGCTCACATTGTGGAATGCAATAAATATATTGGGTATTAACGCTCGTGTTACTCCTCTGGCGTTGCGAGTATTCATGGGCGCCGCCGAATTACTTAACTTCAGGTGATCAGGCTGCTCGAATCCCACAAAATGAGCTTACATCAAAATTCTTTAAACATAGAACTACTACACGGCCAATTTCATAACTAGGTTATGAAACTGGCCGTTAATTTTAACTTACCCTGCGGCTATTGTCATAATCATCTTTATTTTTTCCACTGACATGTCTTGTGATGTAGCCTTCGTGAGGACTTGGAGCTGCTTCTGGATGTACAGGGTATCTACGGTAGATAAAATAAGCTTTAATTAGCGTGCGTTAATTATAGCTAACGTTCGTCGAGGATAGTGCATTTTCCCAACAGTGAGAGAATTTCTCAAATCGGCTAAGTAGTTTCGGAGATTCTTCCATCCAAAGAAACAAAGAATCGAATGTTTTCTGTTTATATTGTTAGTATTGTCATACTAATCGTCAAAGCTAGTGAAATATTTGATGTGTTGTTACTAAATTTCTCCTGCTAAGTGAGAATTTGGATGGTCAATTGCATAATTTGATTCCCTCATCACTTTTGAGAAGCCTTTTTCCTCAACAAGCAAGGAACAATTTTAGGCGAATCTTAGACAAAAATACAAAAAAAAACCTTGAGATATTTCCTAAGAGAAAGCGAATATATTGAAAAAAAAAACGACTTAACCATGTAAACTAACAATGGAATGAAAAGCTGTATTAGTTTTTTTAAATCAAAGTTATGTATTACGATGTTACTAAGCTGTAGATCACGGATTTTGGATTTGTGCCCAGTATTTACTGACTATGGTGTAACAAAATGTCATAGGTGAGTCATTACTAAATTATATGACGAAGATTTGTGAAATGAATTCGATATAGGAAAGTGTGTCTTTAAGATATTTTGGACCTTATTGAATTATATTGCGTAATAAAAGCCACGTCATTAAAAACAAAATTATCTGTGATATAGTTAGCGTGTCATGTTTTTGTAAACAAATCGGTAGAAGGAAAAAGTTAACGTTTAGAACAACTACATAATATGTTAATAGTTTTAAACCACAAACAACAACTATTTGATTTTATTAATAACATTAACAAAGTTTGCTTATTGATGAATGACGCAATAAGTTGTTGATATACTTAAAATTGCATACAAAATTATCAATTTGTCTTTGAAAAAGTGACTTGCAAGCTCCCTATTTTAGGAACTTCTCGGTGACTTATGTGGCTTCGTATGATCATCAGTCCAAGTTGTAGTTAGAAACTATTCGAGCACTATCGAAAAGTTCTTGAAAAATACTTATCTATACTAATATTAAAATTTGTAATCTTTGGATCCGCTGGTCGGATTTCCTAAAACATAGTTACAATATTCCTGAGTGCTATAGGCCATAAATTGTACTATTGATTGGCGTGGTTTTATCACATTAAACGCTGCTGTTTTTAAATTCGCATGCGAAGCCGCGGTAGGAAGAGCGATAGAGTAGTCTTTTCATTAAATGTTAAAGAATGATATATAGAATAGAATAGAATAGAATGTTTTTAAAAATACTTTACCGGCTAGCATTGAGCGGTTTGTTTGCAGGTTTAGTCCTTAAAGCTCGTTGTTCTGACTTCACAGTAGTAGGGATCAATATAAACATGTTTCCAGTGACATGTACGTATAAATGGTCGCCAACTCCTGCCTCATGAGATGTACTTTCCACCGTACATTTAATGAAGCCAAATCTGCCCACTATCGCTTCTTGGAACAGGAAAAGGCGCTCCAACCATGTATCTTCAGGAAAACCTAAATCAAAAGATAGATTTTACGGTAATTACTCATTCAAAAACAAATTGTTTAGTGATTTTTACACAACCTAATTTTATTTTAAACTAGTCCACATAAAAATTCACTGAAAATAACGACTTACGTTATATAACTGAGAAAAGCTCTACTCCTAACAGTTGGCTGCGCGATGTCGCCGCGACGCGCACGGTGCTCATGAATAAGAGTCCCGTTGTGACTTGAAACTAGACGAGCTTTTCTCAATTATTTCACGTAAGTAAGTCGTTATCTTCAGTAAATGTAGTTTGTCTCACGATAGTTCCTACCCACTTATTAAAAGTATAGTATGATCCATGTATTGTACCTACAAAGTGAAATAATTCATTTTCTTTTTGGGATACAACATTATTTTGGTCTCGTTGCGAGCTGACTATTACATCATGGTAAGCAATCGGCGCCACCCAAGGACTCCCGCAATACCAGGGGAGTGGCCGGCTTTTTAGGGGATAAGAGCTTATGGGGATTTAAGTATGGAAGAGGGGAAGGACTGGGCCTTCGATAACCTCAGTCACGCGGCGAAACACAACGGTGTGGTTATTTCACAACGGTTTTCTTTGAGGCCGTGGTATCACCCCGGTCGAGCCGGCCTATACGTGCCCAAGCATGGTTCTCCCTCATTTTCTTAAGCAGGAACTTTATTTTATGCAAATTTAATACATGCACATTACAGTGTAATTATTCGAATATTATGTGTAATACTTTATGAAAAACTTGTGATGATTCCCATTGCGTTATATATAAATACTGATACTAACCTTCGAATAACGTGACCTTGCTTCGAAGTAGGGGTTCTTCGTTCAAAGGTACGTAAATGGGTCCCCTCAATGGATCAGATTTCAATGTGAATGGCAACGCCAACGGGTCTGCCGGTATTGGCACCATCTGCAGTCTACAGCTTTGGGCTTTGCGAGCCCAGCCGAATATCTGGAAATATATGCTCATGTACCTTTGTAATAACTTTCGTCAGCCATACTAAATTAATTTTTATGTTTTCGGCTTACTCACGTAATTGTTCGACAAGATACTCGTCACGTGTCGTGGAATGCTGCTTATGAATATGGGCCTCTAGAATGGCTTGAAACTAGTCGAGTATCTCGTCAAACAATTACGTGAATAAGTCGAAAACATAATAATTAAAGTAGAGACTTGTTATCTACATCATCTACGACAATTTGTTTGTCGAGCAGCGGAGTAACGGACGGATTACCACTCCCAGAGCGAGTATTGTTTTTAATTTTTATTTTGGGGAATCTCTTGTGTTTATTTAGTGTTACAAAACAAAACTGAATAATAATATGTGCACATTTCTGGTGATTGTTCATAATAACTACTGTTGAACGATTATAGATTATGTATCCATACTATCCTTTTTTTTAACCACTGCTCGATTTAAATTGATTTGTTTATTTGCTTGATGCTTATGCACCAGTTACCGATCGACCTCTTTTATTAGACTTTTTTCCCAACAGCCAGAGGTTCTGAAGGGATTCTCTGAATTGAATATTTCTTATATTTATCTGCATGCCAAATAACTTGCTAAAACATGTACATTACCTACGTATAAATTATTATAAAAACACATGTGAATGCAAAAACGGTTACACCGACTTATTTGAAATTTGCCATTATACCCAGGATATACATAGGCTGCTTTTTATCAACATACAACCGCGGGCGGAAGCTAGTACATAACAATAATAACATACCAGTTCAGCAACAATATTCCCGCTGGCGACGGCCCACTGTATACACATCTCGTACGCCTGGTCCGGTCGGAATGTCGCCTGGTAGCGCGCGTGCCCCCACTCGATGCGGTCGCTCTTGTTACTGACATCGATATCCAAATGCGTGTTCTTGTAGAGAGGCACTGTAATAAAAGTAGACATTACTGAAGCTCAAAGATACTAAAAATAAAATTATATTATATGTACACGTTTTTAAGTCTATACTAATATTATTAAGAGGTAAAATTTGTAAGTTTGTATGTAGGGTGTAATCTTTGGAACCGCTGGTCGGATTTCCAAGTTCTTTCACTTATATATTGCTACAATAGTCCTGATTGCTATAGGCTATAAAACATCAAGCTACGATTAAATGGAGCCGAGCAGCGGGTGAAACCGCGCGAGAGTAGCTAGTCTATCAATATAGAAATATAGAGGAAATAATAAGTTACGGTGCAACAATAAAATTTATTTATTTATTTATTTTCCAAAACTTAGACTATTTTTACAGGTTTTGTACCCAATGCAATAGCCTAGATAAAATTGACACCGTAGAATAGATTTTTTTATTTTATTTTTATGTCACAAGCCGGCAGACGCGCAAACGAATTACCTGATGGTAAGCAATCAGCGCCGCCCATAGACATTCAAAGCAGTTACTTCAAGTGCGTTGCCAGCCTCTTGCGGGTTAATAGGGATAGAGCAGAGGTAGCTTATGCTATCTTTTTACTTTAAAAATAAAAAAGCCGTCCCACATTAGGATTTTCTCTTGTGTCGTGAGTGCGTTGACAAACACTTTTCACACACATATGACACCCAGACTCGAAACAATTTGTTCATCACACAAAGTGTTGTTCCGTGCGGGAATCAAAACCGCGACACGTTACACGGCAGCCAGTTGAACTGTTACCGCACTAATCGTGCAGACATTGCACTTTGAATATGATATCAAGATGGCACTTGTAAAAAGCTAAAATAATACGTACTATCACTATCAGACCCCAACTGCATATAACTGGGGTCTATATTATCACAGAGGAAGGCTGGTACTCCAGTGTCATCAGTGACTGGACTAGAGCCTGATATGTCGATGGCTCCCGTCGTGGTGTCTGCCGGGAGCAATGGGGACCGCGGCCCAAGCACTTCCACTTCCATCCACTCGTTCTCGAAGGATTGAAGGTCACCTAGAGGTTTGACGTAGTCTGGCATTGTTTCTGTAAAATAATCATTGAAATGTTTTTCAAAATATTATTTGTTTGTGCTCTTGCACTTAAATATTAGATAAAATGTTATAGACAGTCACCTTTATCTTTCTTCTGTGGCAGTATGTGGTACATATAGTATCCTACGACAAAACGTTTCGTCGTATCACCCGACGCGTGACATATCAACTTTTCTTGTAATAATTTCTGTAAAAAAACGAAGATTATGTATATTTTAACCACTTATTTGTATAGTAATTTTTATGATTTGTTAGGAAAATATTGTAGCAGCATTTTGGAAAAATGTTCCAGAATATATTTACGATCTCTTAGGGAAACAGTAGGGTACAATTGTTTGTTACACTGGTACAGATGGTAAATTAAAACAAAATATGGCATTTAAAGAAGTCGGTGGAGCTCCGATCTCTATTAAATATAATGCGACGGTAATCAGTCTGCTCTCGCTCAGGGTAAGTCAAGGAAGGTTGTCAGACTCTTGCTGACTAAAAATGCCCCTGTTCATTCTCCTTCTCAAGGCCGGCGGCGACACCTTATTGCGCTTACCCCACAACCCTGGCTCAATATCACCATCATAATGTGGTGGTCTATTAACTCTTAAGAGACGCGCACGTAATACTACGGCCGCATGCTCGGGTCTTCGGGTCTCGCAGACCGGAGTATTTTAGTATATTAGACTGTAATTTTCAATTACTGAATGACATTTATCATGTACACAAGTACCTACATTTCAAAGCAGGGGATAATATTATATTGAGGTATTAAGAATTTAATATACTCAACCTCCATAATAGACGTGGCTCGTTCATAGGTCACTCCCTCCATGTTAGCTTGCAGCCAATGTATGGCGTATATTGACACGAACGTGTGTGAGGGCAAGCTAACAGTCTGTTGTAAGAATCCCACGCCCAACTGTGGGTTCCGCATGCGATCCACTATCTCCGCCAATGACGCGTTCGCTTTTAATTTAGGTTCTGGTACGCTGGAATTAATGAAAAAACGTTCTTTTATCATGTTTTTTTTATGTAATAGGTCGGCAAACGAGTAGAAGGATTACCAGATGGTAAGCAATCAGCGCCGCCTACGGAGGGTGTTCATGGGCGGCGCTGATTGGCAACGGAGGAGTTACGAGTGCGTTGCCGACCTTTTAGGGAATAGGGATTTGGAGATTTAAGGATTGAGGAGGGGTTGTGGGAGGGGAAGGATTGGGCCTCCAGTAACCTCACTCACACGGCAAAACACAACGCTGCGTTTGTCTCACGCCGGTTTTCTGTAACCGACCCATTCGTGTCGAAGCGTGGCTGTCCCACACTTAAGTATTAATACACTCTAAGTTTTATTCTGAAGAGTATCGTCTACGGACTCGACACTTGGGGCGCCAGTGACAACTAAGGTCTGTTGTGTTTCGTCGTGTAAGGTTACCGGAGGCTCAATCCTTAATTTCCCCGAGTCCCTCCCTAATCCCTTTATCTCTGAAACCATAATCACCAAAAGACCGGCAAAGCACCCACTCGTGATACGGGTGTTCAGGGGCAGCGCCGATTACTTATCATCAGGTAATCCGTCTGCTCATTTACCAACCTACTACATAAAAAACCCTACCAAACTTCGACATTCTTGCCTCTTCCACACTACATATTCCTTTCTCTCTTTCTGTAGTTCCCTTTGTTTCTTTCTTCCTAACAACAACATTACATTCCTGGTAGGCCCTGTATTTTATAGGACATTGAAGAAGGTCTAATATCACTTTATTTATGGAAAAAATGTTAATAATATTTACCCGTCATCATAGGTATCATCGCATTCCCCAGTCTGAGATTGAGTTCTCTCCAGTACAGTTTTAGCTGCGGCCCTGAAGGTATTGTATCGTTAGCAATACATACAATATGAAAGTAGAAAAATATACCAAAACTACTATTAATGATAAAAAAGAAAATCCAAAACGCAAAGCTTCCAAGCAGAAGTTATAGAAAAATAGGATGATTTCAGGGTGGCTTTAGAGTCAGTGTTTTTGACGGTTCAATAAAATATTATTTAAAAACTTCTTAGGGTATATTTTGACGTTTGGTGGAGTAAAGTAAAAGGATGGTTGATTTTACAGTTGAGAGAGAGTTGGTTTAATGAAATCGTTTGAAAGGTACAAATTAAAATAACGTATTACAAAGCATACATATTCTTAGTCAATAAAAAATGATTATTTCGTAAAAATTGAAGCTTAATGGCGTGTTGATTTTTGGCAATCAAAGAATTCGTTCATATTATTGGGTTTTAATTTTTTTCAACTCATCTTTTCGACTACTGGTACGGTGACTCTAAAATCACCCAAAAATAGATCATGAAGCGAACTGTATACTTACTTGTTACTAAGACTAGTGTTTAGTGACTTAGTAGGTGATAGTTGCTGCAATGAAACATTCAGTAAGGATAAGAATAAGCAGCATATAGGCACGGGGAAGCATTCGATGATAACTTAGCGAAAGAAAAATAAACCGAGTTATGAATTAAAATCTCATTATAAAGGTATAAAAAAATCTGTAAAAAAACAATATTGTATTAAAAAATAAAAGGGAGGTGCGCTACTAAATTTCAAACTATTTAAATCAATCAGTGCAAAATTACATAAATTACAAAATAAACAAAAGTAGAATAAATTAAATAATATTAAAACATTAGATATTAAGCATAATAACAGGTAAAAACTATTTGGTTCACACCTAAGAAGACGAGTGAATGATCGACTGAGTGAATGGATGAATGAATGAGTGAGTTAAGGGAATAGAACGAATAAAGTGCAGCGAATAGCGACGTAGAAGCCCAGCACACCATGCGACAGACAGGAAGCGATCTTTGTGTATGCAATGTAGATTTTATACGCGTTATTGGAAATTCAAACAGACTACTTAAAGGTCTACCTTTAAGCAGTCTTTCTGCCTGAGAAAATAATCTTATTTTCCCCATCAGATATTTTCTTTTAAATGAACATTTTCGAACAAGCTTTCTTTTTTGATCGACATGTGCATTTAAAAAATATATACAGAGTCGATTATTAACAGCAGAATTAATTGATTGAAAATAAGCAAATAGTTTAACGCGTATAAAACAAAACGAGAATCACTGTCCATATTTAAACCATATTATTTATAAAAAAAAAAGTAAAACTAAACTAGACGTAAAAAACATTCTATGGAATGTTTTACAATCTTTTCTAAGCTCGATAGTTTAAAAATGGACATGAGTATTGTGACAATGTATGTAGGTTTGTGTTACGTAGGTACTGACATGGCTTCGATCCGTAGCCTCGGTCGGTCAGGCAACCGCGTGCTGCCCACACGCTCCCTGAACGGCGAGTTGGATACACCGCCCTGATACATCACACACAACACGAACTTTAACACGACGACTGATTGTCCTACATCCTAGCTTTACACTCGAAATAGAAATATACTCTTAGTAATGCCCCCTGAGTCGCTTTCAATCATTGATATGATGATTTTATCAGTAACTACATTAACTATTTCACTCCTTGTGTGTGTAACTGTATTTACTCTTTTATTAGGAACATGCAATATGTTATGTATGTACATTAAAATTCAATTAAAAGGCCTAAATAAACTTGAAACATTGAGTCTTATAAGTTCTTTTCACTTTTTCAGGAACTGCTACTGATGAACTCTATTTTTACCAAAAAGGTCCTCTATTTAAATAACAACAACTCAGGAGTTCATAAACTAAAGTATCATTCTATTTCGAAATGTCACATCGTAGACTACGAAACAAAAATAAAAAAATAAAAATTAAAAGAAGCCAGCAAACAAAACGTCTGAGTATTGGTGCATTCCGTGCATAATAATTGCATAATTTTATAATAAGCAGTGCGAATATATACGCAATATGCACAATGTGGTGGTTCTTGAGAGTACTGCAAGTATAGTATCGTGAGAAGATGCAGTCGGATAGACAATAAGGCATTTTTGATCATGATGATGCAGAGTATCCTTATCTCTACAAGCCTACATCAAAAATAACTTGTTGCCATAAACTTATGGTTTATCTGGGCATACAATATAGGCGATTGATTGCGTTACATAGATATCTCCAGTCAACATTAAGAAGTGACCATCCACCTGGCGAAGACCTCAACTGCACTGTTATCTATAAAATTACAATTAATTGTGGCATTAGTACCTACAGTGTCGTAATCAACTTGTTAACGTTAGTCTACTATTGTTAAAGTGTAAATATTAGAAGGTCAAACGCCACTCCAATGTAAGGTTAATACAGATTTACATCGATCAATTACAAACCCGGTATTCATGGAGCCAATGAAATGAGTGCGCAAATATGCCACAGAAAATAACATCGAAATTAAAAATTTTGATTCCGTATTAAACATAAATATACGAGTAAAACGATCAAAAGAAGAGACCATTTGCTTTCTGAATATGCTTTGACAAATTACTGGACTGTGTTATATAGTATTAATCTGCATTTATAGAAATAAGAGGTCTGTCCCATTTGATCGTAGTCGAAACTGAAAACTGAAAGTGACAATAAGGAGTAGTCGTGGAGGCGGGGGGAGTGGCGGCGTCGTGGGCTGCACTAAGTATAGCTAGTAGACGTGACGTGACGTAACGCGAGCCTAGGTCCTCGCAGCGGGTGGCCGGGCTGTGTAGTGGGCGGAGTACCTGCGCGCTCCGCGTGAGGATGGAGGTGGAGTGCCGGCGCCGCGTGAGGGCCGCGTCGGCCGCGCCGCCGCCCGCCAGCGCCATCTGCACACCACACCGTCAGCGCCGCGCTGTTGCCTGGCTCCGACCGAACGCACCCAATAACCGTATTGAGAGCCCGCGATCTCGAGGCATTTTACTGGTGCCATTTTTGCACAAAAAATATAATTTTGGAGCACATTGACATGACCGCAGAGCGGAGCCGATGTCGTCGTGGGACGACGAAGAAACGAATCGATTCTAAGCTACGCTAATACCTGCGCGGTTGCGCCAAATTCGCTGTCGCCTAGTTTGGTTGGTAGCTTAGGTAATGTCGGTAGCGATGCTTAGTTCGATACTGAAAAGTAATAGTTTGAAGCCACATGTCTAGACAATGCCAAGACAGTTCGTGTCGCGCCCGGTCTGCGGTCGCTGAGGTCATAGTTAATTCATCATGCGCTCGGACTCAAACAGGAAATTAAAAATAACACGTAGTGTGCAACAGAAATATAAATAAAGTCTAATCGAAAAATAAATATACCACCTAAACATGCTCATTCACATTAAGATTAAATATGAACGATGCTTAACTTGTGGGACACATTATTAGAGAGGATACAATGACTAATATCCAAAGTTCACATAACAGACCATGCGTTTACACAAGCACGACAGTGAAATTTAGAATTTCATGTTTGAGTAAACATTTAGTACTAATTATTATCAATATATATTATCTGTAGAGATTCATTAAATTTGGTAATGGCAAGCATCTCTGGATAAAATTTACAATATTATTTGGGAAATGGTGCACTTCTACAATACATGCAGTGCAGGTAGTAAGTCTACGTGTCATATAAATAAGTGCGAGTAACTACGTTCATGCTTCACTATACACAACACTTACAAACATTAATAATGTCTATAAGTGAGAGGGATATTTACATAGATAAATTAATTACATATTTATAAAGAAAAATGTACAGAGAAACAAAAAATTTACAACATCTACAAAAATAAATAACTCGATTATTTCAAAAATTTGATTATATTCTTTAAATAAAATTGATCAGTGCTAAATGCCTACGTATTATTTTTTTAAGAACTATTTGATTGATTTTTGGACACATATTAAAATTAAAAAATGAAAGCTTTGTAGCTAAAATAATTGAAAGATTTAACATAGGGCAATATTGCATACTAAAAGCTTGTACTTACATTTTATCCAATCAAAGTTTGATATCAAGCTATTTTAAAAGACTCCAGCCTTATAGGCAGTTTAAAAAACATTGTCTCAAAGGCCTACTAGCCAATTCTAAATAAAATTTAGCACAGATCAATCAAATAATTGTGGAATCTTGTCTTTTAATCCTGTCGCCATACTTACCCTCTGTTTGTTAGGACGTTTCACCTTATTGAAGTATTGTTCTGTCATTTTAAGAAATCCATCTGTCAGTTGATCAAGATCATGGCGTGTTGGTGTCGGGTAAATGTCACAATGTATGACATTGTCATCCATTATCTGTTTCGTAGCTGGATTAAATAACGGCAGCAGTAATGTACGGAACCTCCAGTATTTCAGGGCCTGTAATTTTATTATATTAGGGTTAACACAGTTGGATATTTTACGCGTGAAAATACCTCGGATGATGTTTTTTTTAATATTTTCGAAACAATAGCAGTCGTACATTGTTTTTATCATATTATTATATCATTATGAAACTTGCCAATTAATTGTAAATAAAATATGGTGCCATTGATTTACATTTAAGTACAGTGGTAACAAATATGAAAACTTCTTGGTATTTGATTATTTTATCGTAAAAGTATGACTAGAATCAATATTCAAAAACAAAAGTTAATCCTTCGAAATAGAGTCGAATTTGTTTTGGAAGCTATAATCAATCAGCTATTTTACCACTTGTAGTGTGTTTAGGCCAAAGTGCTGTGATAAAAGCGGGATAGCGTGAATAGAGAGTTTTGGTAAATTTGTGCTCTCTCTCTGCCCTCCATCGATGCAAGAGATTTAGTAGAAGTGCCATTCATCCAGAGTCGCTGTGCAGTTTTAGAACACAGTTACGGTCATTTTATGACTATTATAATTCTTCAAATCACACAAAAACAAATTAAACTTCACCAACCAAAACAATTAGTGCAAAAAGCAAAAGAGTCATCATATCGAGGTATTAACACACGTAAAAGAAGCGACAAGAGAAATATAAGGCCGGGCAGCGAAGGTGTTAGCAAAACGCTAAATATATACATCAGACACTGCCTTTGGGCCTTTTTACCGTAACAATCACCTCTGCCAGAGCAAAATCTGTATCCCCACGGGTGCATATGTAGTGGTCCATGTAATTCCAGTTGTAAGTCTCCAGTTTTTCCGTCGTGAAAGATACCCAAGACACTTCGTATGTGTCATGGTTCGGTGCGTGGAAACGGTAGCGATAGTGAATGTTGAAAGGCGGATAAGGATGTCTGTAAAAGTAAATTTGTATTGATTAGAAGGATAAATTAACATTGTTATAGATATCAGAATCTGGTTTTGTAAATCAATACTTTTGCTTGACTTGACTTTGAGGCTTTTAAGTACATCTTATTGGGGTAAACTTAAGCTTAATAGGTAAATAGCATACCATTAAAACTCTTATTTTATACTTCGACCAGGAACTGGTTTCTCACAACCTTGATATAGGGCAGTAAAAAAAGCAATACATTCTCAAAAAACACTTAACTACATCTTATTCTAGATTTATAAAAATTCTTACCTAGGTCGATATCTCGTAACAGTGATGGTAGACCCGACAAGAGTCAGTTTGTGGAAGATCCTGCCTATAGACAGGAGGTATCGTTTAGTAGGCGCCGAGTTCACCGGCTTGCCGCACTGTGGAGCCACTTTCGAAGGTGGAGGTGCCGCTGTAGATGGGCAGTGGGATTCTATTACCTCGTTTTCATTTACACCGACTATTAGCTGGAAACCCTGAATAGAAATAAAAGAGTTTGGTGAGTCTCCTAGTAAAAGGGTTTATTCATCAATAATGTCTTGGCAGCTTATGGAGTCATGCTAGCTCGAACCCTACTTATAAATTAATGTTTTTGATGGAAACTTTTGAAAGCGTCTTCAGCGTGATTGGTAATGAATGCTTACACCTTTTCCGTGTGAGAAGAGACCATTGCTCAGCACCCAGCACTTATAGCCTATTTTTGTGGAGGGAAATCATCAAATGACTTCTCCCGCCCAGGGTGAGGCGAGAGAGAGTATTAGACTCTTACTGACTAAAAACCGAACCCTGTTCTGTCTCCTGTTTTAGGCCCTGTAGGCCAAGGTCGAGGTGCCTCATTGCGCTTACTTTACAACCCCGGCTGTACATCAGCCTTGTAGGGCCCCGTCTGTGGTGGTCTATTGGCTCTTTGACAGCGCGCGGATGCGCCGTACGCTCGGATCTAGTTCGGTCGGGCGGCGACCCTTAATCGCCATCTTTAGACTGGTGCTTGCGATGGTTGAGATCATCTCTCGATCAGCACTTATAGGCTGATGATAACGATGAATGACAAAGAGTATCAAAGATGCTAATCTTCATTACAATTTAAATCCATATAAACATTACTCACCTGAGCTAATCGCTGAGAGACCAACTCTTTAAAAACTTCCATTGTAGTCAGGGGTTCCTTATAGATGGCCCTGTTCTGTGCAAAGTCAGCATTCACGTCATCCGGCAGTAGATTGTAATCGGAGACGAGATAATCGTTCTGAAGAGAACGTTTGTCCGGGAAATAATCCGTTGTGATCGGCAAACACGCCGGAATCGTTAAAGATTTCCAATCCACACCTGATAAATGTTTATTTATATATTACATTACATTACAAAAGATATCGTATCCAGTGTGATTTGTAATTAATGTCTATAAATTTTGCATATATTGTGCCTGTGCCAATTTCAATACTAATTCGATGTGCAGTTAAGTGAACTACGGGACGTGTTCATAAAAGTTTTTGAATCGATTTTGAACTTAATTCTCTGGATTTAGGGTTTATTTTATCCTTTAGTTGAAGGATACACCGATATAGTGTTATATTAACCTTTGATCTAATAATAATACTAATGTAATCGTTTTTTTAATACCACAACTAAACGACCTCTGTAGTACCTGAGGGCAAACTGTCGTCGCAAACACAGCCTCCTTACAAATTAACTTACCTTCTAGAAAACTTAAAACTAAAAACATGTTATTTACAATAATAAGGCAAAATATCTCTAAAGCTGAAACAAATGTTTAGTAAATTAATTTGAAATGTAAATGAGATAATGAAATGCAATGTGCTGTTGTTAATTTTGAAGCGTTGTTTTAAAGCATGCATACTATTTAGTAAAAATATTTGTACCTAGAATAAGCGATAATTTAATTGATTAATACCAATGATATTATATATTATCAGATATGTTATGAGGGCACAAAAGTGAAGACTCGAAAAGGATACAATTGTAGGCAAGTCAATGATATGTTTGTTTACGTTGAGTACGTAATTGATAACAATAGCTGTTTCGTTTTTTCTTGTTGGATTTATCATACTATCCTTTGTCTACAATTTTAACTTGTAGTGATATGAAGAATTAATGAATGGTATGTGAGTGTGCTGACGCTTGGCGCGGAACACATTTTTCGTGCGTTTTGTGAGCGTATAATATATCTGTGTTAATATAATATCATTGATTTATACAAAATGTTTTAACCGAAATCTGCCAAGAGGTACCTATACAGGAGAAAATAGACCTAACTTCATAGCTCTTTAATTTATATAAATGTTATTATTATTACGACCTATTCGCGTATACTATCCGATGAAGTAAAATACCAACATATCACACAAAAATGTCGTCATTATGACTTGAAACTAATCAAGCTTCTTGGAATAGTACGAGAATAAGCCGTAAAATAAAATTTATTATAATACGACGCATGCAGATTTGCTGATTGTCAGTTTTAGATTTAGAATAGCTTAATGCTATCTTATACTTAAATACATATGTATATTAAATATCGGCTAATCAAAAGCTTTAGCATATATTAACTTTTTCATTACATTTATAAAATAATTTGAATGGGAATATGATGACATTTAATTTTGATCGCAAGATAGTATGTTGATAACCATTGGCAGGGGCATAATAAGGATCCATTGGCATAATTTGATAATTTCCTATAGTAGGATGTTATATAGGTAGCACGGCAAACGAGCATGCGAATTACCTGATGATAAGTTATCGGCGCCGCCGATGTACACCCACAACAACGGAGGAGTTAGACGAGCATTGTTAGCATTTTGGCGATTAGGGCTTTGGAGATTTAGGGATTGGAGGAGAAAAAGGATTGGGCATCCGGTAACCTCACTCACATCGCGATGTGAGAACATCGCTGTAGTTCTTTCAAACCGGTTTTAAGCGAGGCCATAATGGTATCACTCCGGCCCAGACGACCCTCACTCTTCCCCACTGTGGTTTTTATTCTCACATTATAAAATAAGGAATATTCCTTATTCCCTACCCGCCCAAGTATAGGTACTAGTATGTCTCATTTTCCCATTTTAACGCTACATAAATAATTAGGTTTTTTATATACTATGTTGACCAATGCAAAAATGTAATTTAGCGCAATTATACAGTATTCCCCATAGCGGATATTATAATATAAAAAATATACTTATAACACATAATACTATGCGGAAACTACTGAATGCAAATCCAATAAATGGAATATCAAACCTATGGCTCGGTTCGCTTCGTTCCAATGAGGTTTGAAGACAATTTTTCAACGCGATGGTATCATGAAACATCAAAAGTGAAGTGAACGTTTAGTACAAATAACATTTATATATATAATTTTCATGTTATCCAAAACACAGAATGCCAATTATTGAGTAATTGGTTTCTGCTTTAGACTCCCATTTAGAAGATTATGAAATTCCCCCTTTAGAATGCAGTTTTACATTGACATTTTAAAATATGAATATAATTTCTTAGTTTCGTTTTTAGTTGATGTTACTTAGAAAGAGATTTAGGTATCTTTTTTTAAATATTTTAAGCTACACAGCTACAGCGGATAAAAGCAAATACAATACTTTAAAAACACACGTCTAAAAGGGGAATTTGAAAGTGACCTAAAAAAATATTGATTATTATGAGTATAGCTTATACCAAAGGAAATATTTAAATGACAAGTGTCGTACCATGTTATTGTTGAACATTTAGTAATACTGTAATACATGATGTTTCAATTCGTTAATTTATTTACATTAAAAAGTGAATGGATTCCACTATGGCTTAAGTGATTAGGATGTTTTGTTTAAAAAAATGTTATTCTATTAATGTCCTCACCAATTTGGCAAATAAGTTACCAAATAAATGTATGGGTACTTAATACTTCTGCGGTTTACTTGGCATGTTTGTACAAATGTTGGCATAATTTTTGTGTTAAAAAATATTTGATTGTAATGTAATTAGGTATAGTTCGGCCGTTCAGAGAATGCGTTCCTGACACCTATCAGTTAGTCACGACTAGAGATGGGCACAACATAACACTGAGTTCGTTACCGTTCCGCCAAAATGAAGCCGCGTTATTTTTAAGATTATTTTCGTTTTAAATTTTTGGAATCATTTAAAATTTATATTTTAGTAATTTAAGTGGAAACCAAAAAAGGTAATATTAATATAATAAAATTGTTTTATTTATTCTTTGTTACAAAGTTACAATCTGTATTTCTATGCAATAAAGTACATTGAATTGAACGTACGTACAGAATATTAATCAGACTCCGATTCGCTTGAGGAGGTGGTGTCTTCATCATCATCTTCGCCTACATGTATATTTATATTATTATCAATTACAGAATCAATCCTGATATCTCGGTCAACAAGAACAGATTATGATACTGTTATTGCCTGTTATTGTTAGCACAGCACTACAAATATAAAGCGCTGACATAACCTTGTAAATAGCGCAGTATAGATTTAGAAAAATATTGTTTACCAAGTTATTTGACACTCAGTTTGGCACAAAATTATACAATTTTTTGTATTTATATAATAATGTTGTTTTAATCCTCATCAATTGTTAAAACGGTAAACAACGCGCAAAAATATTTTTATCGTAACTGCAACGCCATTACAAAGTTACGTCGTCAGCTCAATCGCGACGTGTCAGGAACGCATTCTCTGAACGGCCGAACTATAGTCAATGAAAACCAAGAATAAAATATATTCTTTGATTTTATTTCATCACAAGTGTTTCGCAGCAATGGAAAATGTATTAACGCCAACATTTGTATAAACACGCGATGAAATATTTGACTCGCATTGTTTTTATAAAATAATTTAATAACTTAATCGCCATTTGTACATGAATGGACCAATGCCAAATGCACGATGCACACACCTTATAACTAACAATATACCTTGATCATGTTTAATGTCTTACTTACATAACTGTTTAACGAGCTAAGTCGACTAGTTTCGAGCTGCGCTTGGGGCTCATATTCATGAGCGCGACATACGATCAGGCGAAAATTCGTGTTGACATAAATCGTCAAACAGATACGTTAGTAATTCGTTTAATATAATTAATAGATATAATACTTTTTGTAAAAGTTATAAGATAAAAATTACACTTATGATTGTCACATGATATGACTTATATATTTACTAACCTGTGGTTAGGGCTGGCGTCCACTCTTGTTCTCCAGTAGCTCCCCATAGTAAGGCGAGTGATGCGTTGTTGGTAGTGGATGGAGTGCCAGATACAACGCCCAGCACTGCCAACGTACCCGAAGCGCTAATCATGCGCTTGCGACCTATTACGTTGCCTGTAAATGATGACATGTTTCGATTTGGTAAAGACATTTCGGAAACCGCGTGAAACAAAACGTAGCGTTGAAATGGACCCATACAAAGAGTTCGAAGACTTGCAGATCGAATAGTTTATTTATTGAAAATATTGACTTTCTCACGTGAAATAATTGAGAAAAGCTCTACCAGTATCACTTTTATTCAATTCTGAGCTCATAAATAATGAATTTTCATGAATACTCGAACTCTTCATTCTTGAGTTAGACCACAGTATGGTTGATATGGTTGGTTAGATAAAGACTGTATCATCGTTTACCACCAGGCGAGTGATAATAATCGAGGCGAAAAAATACTATGTTGCTATGTACACAACTAATTAGCACCCGGTTTCTGAAAGGCTTGTCAATTCTAAAATTAACTAATCTCCTGTTAAATTGATTTAATAAAAAAGATTAAATTGATTTTAACATTGATCGGCCTTTCGGAAACCGAGTGTTAGTCTAAAAAGTAATCATTAAGAAGTATTTTGATTTCTAATCTCATTTTACAATAGTATCATTATTGTATACTCACCATCAACCTGATAAAGCGAGTGATTGTTATTAATAATCGAAGATCCATTTTCTTTGGTAATATTGTTTTCGAGGCGGTGGTCTTCAGTCCTGGAGGCCGGTTCTCCAGCAGGACGGGCTTGGTAATGATGTTGTTGTATTAATACGCCGGTTGGACCTGGCAACATTAAATTAAAGAAATAAAAATCACTTTTCGAGGATGCTCAACAAGGTTCAAGTTAGACTGGAGCTTATAAACCAATAAGCATATAATATTAAAACATGACTTGAGAAAGCTTTTTAGTAAAATTGGTAAGCATATAAGTGGCTATTGATTGGTGGTTCTGGCTTACGAAAAGTCCAGCCTAAGTTGACCCGTGTGTATGTGTAATTAGTTATAGCAGTGAGTCCAGGTTATGTTGGTTTAGCGCATTTCGCGGTCAATTCAAAAAATCTTAAACATTTTTAGTTAATATCCCATGAACGTAAAACAGCTAATATAATAATTCCCCTGTATTCTCCTATTGCATTCTTTTTTTATATTTTATTTTTTAAATATTTTTTATATGTTACATATACATAATTTATAGGTATATCAGCGATTTATAATTGATTTACAAACCTTTGGGAAATATGTGCGTCCACCGACGTCTGTTACTGGTCAGTTTGACTGTGACGTGGGATGGGTCGAACGGGTTGATGAGCGCTCGGCCGGTTCGAATGACCGGCTTGTGGGAAGATATAGAACTTCGGGGGGAAAGTCGGTTGCTTGAGAGCGGTGAGTCTGTTGCGTCACTGTTTGTGTCATAGGCGCCTTGTTTGTCTGTAAAACAATAAATATATCAATGGAATAACTATGTAGGTTTAAGTAAAGTAACATTTCATATAGGGTAAGACAAGGTAATCAGAACGGTGAAAAAATCCGAATGCAGTATTTTATACATGTTCTGTTGTGTATGTACAATGTTTAAGGTCCCTTTTATCTTGGATTTTGAGCACATGAGCCTCTGAGTAATGTGAACATTTACTCTGTAACACAGGAAAATGGTGTTAGTGCCCACTTTTCTCTAGACTTCACACCAAGTCTAATTACAGTATTCATAATGTACAATACCGCCGACGTATCTTGGCGAGTCTGAAGTTAGCCGATTGGCTGCGCAGTACACAATTTTGTTCCTAAAAGATCCATTGCGCAGACAAACGGGTAATTTTAGACTCGCCAAGATACGGCGGCCGTACTATATAATAAATAGTTTTATGGGGAAATTTCCCATCTATTCATCTCAGTCGGAAGTACGGTTTAATTAAAATAAACATCGGGCTGAAATATTAAACAAAAAACAATATTGATCAAAGTGGTCAACTAGAATGTCTGAAGTATACATATATAGGTATATATTAAATGGAGTACTGACACTTACTGCCAATGGCAAGAATGTCAGCAACGGTATGATGAATGTCAGGATCCGACATCTTTCTATGATGTAAACTGGATGTAGGCGGACTTCGACGACTGATGCCTTCTAAGCCAGCCACAGACGTCTTCTTTGTTCTTGACACTCTTTGCACACTGTGTAAGGTATAAATAATGGATAACTCTATACAAGAATCTTGCTGAAAATGTTAAATTTATCAATATCTCGGTTTCACCAGCTACTCTGCTCCTACAGACAGTAGCGTGATATATTTTATAGCATATAGCTTTCCTCGATAAATGGACTAACAAACACAATAATAATCGTTCAATTCGAACTAGTACTTCTCGAGATTTGCGCATTAAAATTCAACAAATAAACTCTACAGCTTATTAATATTAGTATAGATAAATATTAGTATAGATAAATTACATTAGCATTAACCATATTAACCGGATGGTTAGTAATCAATAAAACAATTCCAAAGCAATAACATAAAAAAAAATTAACGGTAATTTAAAAATAAATAAGTAACTAATTAAGAATAATTTTTGGTTTACAAAAATTAATCGCAAAATTTATTAGTACGCGCATAACACAACTACGCCTGAACCAATTGTTTTGTTTGTTTTGCAAAGAAAAGGAGACGGAAAAATTGGAAAATAGCAACCCGTTAGTCGCTTTAGAGGTCATTGGACACCCGTGTCAAGCGAGGGCTGGCCGCTAGTAGTTAATGAAAGTCCTCACCACGTGCTATGCGCCAGCGGCAACTGGAACACCTGAGCATCATATGCATCGTAATCAAATATAGAATTATGCATATATTCATCTTCCTTTAACAATTTCCCTTTGCGTTCATCTTCGTACATTTTTCTTAAAGGCTCCTGACTCTTTCTTGGAGGCAATTTGATTCTCGGTATAAAATTCGAATACGCAACTTTTTTATTAGTCGAATAAAACGATAAATTAATCCAATGTGGCATGGAGTAATCATCTATGGAGTTCAAATTATTGTCTTTATTGTGAAACTTCAATAATGGTACTGCGTGTAGAGGTTGTTCTCCTACGCAAACTAAATCGCTTCCAACTCCATTGTCGATGATCCGTTGTTTTGTGACGTTCGTTAATTCTCTGTCTACTTCAAACACACCGACCCCTGGGGTTATAACCACGCTCAGTTGACCAGTACGGTCGAAACATCTGTCGAGGTAGTGTTTTTCGAATACTGGAAAATAGAAAAAGGATGCTGTGACATGTAAATATATAAATATAACACTACAACAACTGAATTCTTGTCTTTTTGTTTATTTCCAAATCGTCTATCAGGGATACATAATATGTTAAAAGCATTCTCGTCTCTCTATGGTACAGCATAGCAACTAATTTGTATGCTCGTGCATAGGAAATAATATGAAACATCAATGATATTTACCATTCAAACTCATATTTAAAACTTCGAGAAAGTTTCCTTGAGCTGCAGTAGAATTAATAGCAGTCGGTATTTCCATGTTTGGTCTCTCGTGGTATTGCAACACAATCTTTTGGTAATCTGTGAATAATCTTCTCAATTGAAGGAGAACATTCGACCAGTCTTCATATCTCTCATTTTGAACTGCCACCCTGGAATAAGTAAAAGAAAAAAGAAATGTAAAAACTCACATATACTGCGAATGGTTGACTAGACTTCTTCATAAAAAGTACCGACCTGTAAAAATCCTCATAAAATCTGCCTCTATAATCTTTTTGCAAACATTCCTTCATATGTTGCGGAAACTCTTCGAGTGATTTAGCTTTGTAGAATGTCCTTGAGAACAACACTATGGTCACCTCATGATTACTGCCGTTTTTCTATGAAAACCAAACAAAATTATATACTACACAAAATTATTCACAATAGATATAAACTAAATATTGAATGTTGTTTCTTTACCTTCCATTTTGCAAAAAGATCAGCAAGAAATCCATTTACCGCCTTCTCGAAATATAGATCACCATGTATATCAAAGTCCCACATTTCCGAAGACATTTGTATGAAGAGGTAGACCATTGACGTGGAGGATCGGAACACTATCTTTGTATCCTCAGTGATGACTCCACAAGCAACTCTGTCACCTTGAGACCACATCTCGTAAACTTGGCATCTTATAGCTCCACCACAGTATTCTATCTTTTTGTTCAAATACACACAGGTGCTTACCTAAAAAAAATAAGTTTAACTACATTATGTATATTATGTATGTTTCTGTTTGTATTAGAATAACTTAGCAGTTAACACTGGCAGTAAGTGTCAGTGACTAGCAAACACTGTAGAACTTGATTTGTTAATTGTGGCAATTTTAGCCTACACTGAGAAATGTTTTCTTAAATTCTTATGTAGATAGGAAAGGTGGCAAGGTATGTTTATAGAGTTACAGGGCAAGAATAAGTTTATGATAATTGAGAAAAAAACATCATTCAGTCAAATATTAGAATAGTAAGTGAATGAAATAACTACCAAGCTGTTCTTCAACCTCCACATTTCTGATCTTCCCATGTACTGATCTTTGAAGGTGAGCTCCACAGAGTCGAGAGCCACATCTGCCACATTTACTATGTTCACATATACATCTGCAAAGGTTCTTAACTGGAAAGTAATAGCTATGCTTTGTTCTACACTGATGGTATCTAAAAAACAAAAAATATAAATTACTTTAAGTCACGTATTACCACTTTATCATACAGATAATTTATTAAACCCTGTTAAAATAAGTAAATGAGCTTTGACTTAATAGTAAAATTTTCAAAAATGACAAGATGTTGCCATATTCCTATTTTTTATTTGCATTCAGCAGATAGCATTGGGGACTATGTTGTCAGGTGGTATTATTTGTACTTCAATCACACACAAAAACACTTGTAGTAGGAGTATCTGCCTATTGCATTTGGTGTAGTCAAATTGTTTTTATTAATTCATCAAACTGGCAAGTGAATGCCAGTATTAGCAAACCAATTGCTCGACTATTGTGTCTCAAATTACCACAATTGATAAGTTAAGTTAATGATTGAGAATAAATAATTGAGTTATATTTAAAATTATGAAAAAGAATACAAATAATTACCTCTTCCCCGTCCAGGTGCATCCACTTTCGTGACTTGCAGCAATAAGCGTGGATAATCATTTTCTGGATGATAAATTTCAACAATATCTTTCTCCTTTAAACCTGGGTAGTCTTTCAGGTTAATGATTAAGTCCAGAGCTAAAATTAAATAAATAGAAATGAGAGTTGAAATAACATGGTTTTAATTATTGTTATTATATTAATTTATGTATACATATATCTTTAAATCTTGAAGTTAGGACAGCCATATCGAAATTTAAAAATAATAATAAATGAGTAACTAGTTGTTTAACAAAATAGACTTCAATATATCATAGTATTTCAATACTCTTTATTGAGATAATATACTATGGATAATAAATAAAACACCCACTTTTCGCTACTAACATTATAAAATTCTTGTAATAACTTAATAGGATCCCGATTCTTAGATGTATACACATAAGTTAGTTATAATAAATATATAAATACTTACGGCTAAAACTCGATTGATGGACAATAAGCTTAAAAGATTTCATGTTTGTAGTAAATATTGTTTAATAATTTATTTCACTACACACTTATTACCGTATCATGATTTGAAAGTAGAATAATAGTAACACAGCGCTAAACGATTAACTAATTAAATTAAACCGAAATAATCGTAGATAGAAAGCATTTTTAATTTTTATAACATCAACAACACATTTTTTTAGTCAACAACAAGATTAAAATCGTAAATTTCCGTGTTTGACATTGACAGAAGTGACACTTAATTTACCACAGCAAAAAATCTGGATAATAAAATGTCCTTTTTTTTTGTCAGGGGAAAATCATCCAATGACTTCTCCCGCCCAGGGTAAGGCGAGAGAGAGTGTCAGACTCTTACTGACTAAAAACCCCGCCGTTCCTTCTCCTGCTGTGGGTCGAGGTCGCGGTGCCTCATTGCGCTTACCCCGCAGCCCCGGCTAAACATCAGCCCTCTAGGGCCCCGACTGTGGTGGTCTATTGGCTCTTTGAGGCGCGCGCGGAACGCTACGCGCCGTACGCTCGGGATAATAAAATGTCCTGATACGAATGTATTTCTATTTGGCTTTAATGAGTTTGTACATAACATAAAAATAGAACCTGAGGATTGAGACGTATTAAGTACAAATAATGGGGGATAACGTTTTTTGCTGACACTAGTTTAGCTGGAATTAGCGATATCTGGTGACCAACGAATGGTAGCCCCAAATCATAAACGATGTTTTGAAAAAAGTATGTCCGATCAAAAAAACAATATTAATATAACAAATGGCATGGAGAGTGGCAAACCAAAATAATTAGAAAAAAAAATCATGGTCAAGAATAAAGTTAATTAAAAAAAAAAAGAAAAAAAAATCTGTGACTTAAAGGCACTGTCAAAGTCAATGTCACGTTCGCGTCAAAATCAGATTTTGTCTCCTGTCTGAATGTTTGTAATTTTTGAATTTTATTTGCCTTTAATGTGATTCGTCCGCCAGTACCGTTGACGTTGTAGTTTGTAGTGTTTGATTTCGCACGATGACAAAATAATGCAACGGTATTTTATTGAATATTCTCAAACTCACGACTTGCATTAGCATAATGGTACAAATATTTAATAAAATTTAGACTTCTATAACAAGGCCGACGCAGACGCAAAATGCAAGTAACAACTTTAGGGAATGTTATCAGCACTCTCGCTATAACTACAACAATATTGCAGTTTTTCTCTGGCGCGTAAGTGAATATCGGTGAATTAAAAACGTAAAATATCTTTGTGTTTTCAGTGGTGTTCTGTTTCTATGTCAGTATTCCTTCTGTTTTAGCCTCGTGTGCAAACAATATGTTCTTAATAAAACAACAGCTGAGAGTTCATCGCTCCCTTTCGTTTGTGGCACACTATGGTAAGTCAAATTAAATAGAATGTAAGAATTTATATTTTATAAATGGAAGGAGTAATATTTTTTATTTTTTATTTGCAGTTGCTGTCTATGGTACCTGTATGGGTCATATAAGAAAGACGATGTTATAATTCTAGTTAATATAATAGGTATAACACTTATGGTAATCTACACAGCAGTATTTTACATATACACATTCAAGAAGTCCACTGTTTTAAAACAAATATTATGCTTGCTCTTTTTCCTGAGTTTTGTCATATGTTACATTAATGTAGAGGATGATATTCAAGCCCTTTATGTTACACTAGGTAAGATTTTTCACAGTGGTTATTTTAAACTATTATTTTCTGCTATGCAATGCAACTGTTCCCAATGCTAATTGCTTGTATAAAAAAGTTCCGGTACATAATATTTTTTTCATGTTTGTATACTTTCTTTGACCTAACTTTGAATTGCCACATTGTACAGAGGAATATGCATAATTAATAATAATACATTGTTATACTTTTTCAGGTTTTGTTGCTAGCTTGTTTACACTAGTAACAATAGCTGCACCTTTGAGCAAACTACTTCATGTAGTTAGGGTGAACAGCACTGAATGTCTTCCCTTTCCAATGATCTTAATGTCTTTCTTTGTTTCACTGCTGTGGTTTCTCTATGGGACAATACAAAACGATATCTTTTTATGGGTAAGTATAAAAAAGATATTTCTGTTGATATTTTTTACTATCCACAATCATCTTATCAATACATCCTTGCTTGAACCTATGCTTCATCTATTGATTTCTAATAATAATCAATATTAATCCGTAACCTTAGGATTCATCAAATTTTTTATAGAAACTACATACCACTTATTTAAAATAATTGATCTCAATCCACACTGGTTAAGATTGATTAAGAATGATTAATAATCCAATATTTATAATATTTCAAAGCTTGGAACTAAAAATAATGTAGGTTCATCATCCTCCCCTTTTCCACTGTTCCACCACCACCACCACCACCACCACCACCACCACCACCACCACCACGAGTTGAATCTTCAGTCTAAATTATGAATAGACCTGAAAATCAGGTCATGAAGCTGGTTGTTTCGAAACAATAAAAAAGTGTGTGGAAGAATCACTTTTCATAAGGAATGAAAATAATGAAGTATTATTATTTATTTGTATTCTCCATTTATGCATGCCATCATTATGAGTCTTTCATATTTATAGTGCCAATACATATTATCTTGATATCTAATAAGTATTACAAGGACTCCATAATCTAGGTACTTAGTGAATATAATTATCTTTATATAGTTTGAATGTACAGTTGTTATAGTCTAGATATATAATATAACAAACTTTAATAAACAGGGCTCATTTCAGTGTAGGTATTTTTTTATTTATTATTAAAAAAAATACACAATTTTTTTTTAATAAACAGGGCTCATTTCAGTGTAGGTAATTTTTTATTTATTATTAAAAAAAAATACACAATTCTTTCTACAGTATTCTGCCCATAGAGTTAATCCCATACAAAATTAGAAATAGTTGAATGTTTAGAATAGTTGAACAGAAGGTTTTAATTTAAGTGATCAAAAAAAAAACAATGTTCACTAACATTTGACAATAGATCAAACAGTCAGGAGCACTTTAATATGACTTTGCGTTTTCGCTAATTATGTCTTATAAATATTATAAGCACAGGCTGCAAGGCTGCAGGCACAAGTACCTAAAAATATTATGTAATTTTACTAAATCTCTAAATTGCAATTCTGAATAATATCTAAATCACATATTTTAATTGGCCTGGTTTTACGGAAGTATAAGTGCCATGCTTCGGCACTAATTGACCTGCTCAACCTGGAGTGATATGACAGCCTCACAGAAAACCGGCTTGATCCATCACACTTAAGTTGTTACGCCGTGAGAGTGAGATTACCAGAGGCCAAATCCTTCCCCCATAATCAATCCTTCCTCTATCCCTAAATCCCTAATAACCCACGAGAGGCCGGCAACGCACTTGTAATAACTTCTTACGAGTCTAACCCGAGAACATTTACCATAATTAAATTTAAAAGCCAGTTATAAGTATTTCTAATGCATTTTTTGTTTTTCAGCTCACCAACTTGGTTGGAGCGATATTAGCAATAATTCAACTGTCTCTCTTTGCCATATACCCCAACAAGTCCCAGTCTCCAAGTTTAATGAAGAATATAGTAGAATAATTTTATTTAAATTAATAATTTGCTGTGCGAGAAGCATTTTTAGTTTTACTAACAATAGTATTAATTATTTAAAATATATGATATAAATTATTTATATATTACAGAATTTTATTTTGATGTTACCATGTTTTAAATCTAAAATTTAAAAAAATCTTTAAACTTGTCTATTAGTAGATAGTCCTATAAAATACATAAGATGAAAATAATAATTACATTGTAGGAGTTCGTTTCGATAAACTAAGGTAGTATTATAAATTAATTGTAAATTTTTACTTAAGATTTTCGAATTAATGTTTAGGTTTACATTTTTTGTGGTGTGTATGCACCAAAATGTCTCAAATAATAATAAAAGCAAATAGCAATGTTATATAAAATAATAGACAGTATGTAACACATCTTAAATTAGTAGCATAAAACTTTGCAATATTAATGATTAAAAACTGGTACCGCTTGCGAGCGCCTTAAGAAGTCTGCGTTAATAGTTCTGTGTCTACCTTCTTCTACTTCGGTACATACCGACGGGGCGACCCATCATCAGGATTTGAGAAAACCTACTTGTATAAAACCTACTGTGTATGTGCACGGTAGCAGCCATAGCCTCGCATTAATGTAGTACCTAAAGACGTGATTGTAAACATTTTATCATACAATTTTTAAACAAAGAAAACTTTACGATAAAAAGACATACCAACATTGTTACCATTAATTAAGTAGTAACTAAACCGATAGAACATAGTATATTGTATCGGTACCTGACACAGAACATAGATACAGGTACTCCTAACGGAGATCAGTACGAACGAACCTACAACTTAACAATTTTTATGTTTTTGACAAACGCAGAAAAGTCGGTCTCGGCTATTCAATGCGCACTGTCCTAATCCTTTATAATTAGAAATAAAACTAAGTGGGCCAACTATACTATAGTCATTCTTCGTCAACACAGTCGCTTCATAGGATGCATTACCTGGAGAAAGGGTGATCGCAACTACATAATATATTTCAGATTTATCTGAATTAAAATTGTAATAAAAATGTATTCTATGAATATGTTTCAAAGAAGGGACTTTGCAACTCCAGCATCTTTGCGTTGCTATTGTAACTGTCATCCTTTTAATGTAATCTACAACAACATTTACACTTTTGATTCCTATTGGATCGTTTGTTCCGAGGGGATAAAGTTTTTGGCAAGTACACCACTTTTTATGAATATTTGCATCGTCGCAGGTGCGGTTGTTATTGATTTCTGAGAATATGGAGTGGCAGTTTCGACACCCTTCCGGTGGTGGGATACTAGAATTACTGCACAAAGATACGCTCTTTATATCCAAGAGTGTATTATAAACATCATAGGGAGCCATCACTCGGTTCTGGTTTATTGCCAGGGCTCGAAATTCGTAAGGATGTTTACCTTTAAAAATAAAAGGAACCCACATAAAATTCATTGGCAAACGATCATCGTAGAAACCTTCCATTTTAAGGCGATGATTCCCGAAGCGCAAACCGTGATCGCTTAAAAATATGATAAAAGTATTTGTCATAACGCCTGTGTATGATAACTGGTTGAAGAAATTTTCTATAAGTTTGTCCGCTTCCTCTGGTCGACTGTTTTCGTCGTAACTAAACGAATTTATCCAAAAAAAGCCGAAAAATGAATCCTTCTTGTAAGTGTTGGCAAAATCGATAGCGTAGTCTAGTAGCTGTTGTCCAGAAGATATTTTCCCTGTGCATACGGATGTATTGTTTCTGCGGTTCTTCTCTCCTTTAAGAAAAAACGGTCGCATGTAATGATGGGTAGGTGCTCTTCGAAATGCATAGTCTTTTGTAAAAGTATTCGCAATTTTCAGATTGTCTTCCCCATAAGCTGTTACATAACCAGCATCCTTAAATGCATTCCAAATTAAGTATTGGTTGCAGGAGTCCATTGACCCGTAACATTTTTGTATTATTGAAGACATATTTTTTCCAGTTAATGCAGCCATTATGTTGGGCAACGAGTTATCTGCAATCTGTTATTAAATTATATTAAAAACAAGAGCTTGTGCTAACATAATATGGTACCTACCTAACATAACATAATCGTAGGTAGGTATTTACATAACATGCTATGCAAATCAGCCCGTTAGGTACCTATACTTATACCTAATTTATTAATGGCTAAGCAGTCGAAAATCCAGTCACATCTCTTCGAAGTAGCAAGCTGGCAATTTTTGACTTGCTTTATGAACTAAGTATAATAGTACCTACCTGGGCTCCTACCTACCTACTTATATTTATGAATCAGATCTTAAACAATACCGAAACGCCTTCCATTGCCGTTTATATAATTAAAATATAGGTACACTTGTTGTTTTAGGCAGGTAGGTACCCTAAATTTTGTCTTTCCATTTTCTTTTTTATTAAACCTAAGTATTTTGTATTAGACTTCGTTATTCATTTAGGAAAATGGTGCTGTGTCCCGAAATACAAACTCACGCCTAGTTCGGTCACAGGTGCTACTTTTCTTAATATTATAACACAACTGCGTAAGTTCATACTGTTGTAATCTACCGTAAACTATCATTACTGCATGTTAACCTATGTGGGAAAGCCATGTTTTGGCACTGAGCCGGCCGGCTAGAGTGACACCACGGCTACATAATAAATCCATTTTAAATCCACCACAGAGTTGTGTTTCGCCATGTAGGTACCTATATAAGTGAATTTATCGGCGATCCCTAAATTCTAAAAAGGGCGGCTTCTAATCTCCTAACCTAACCGCACTGGCGGCGATGCTTGCTTACATCAGGTAATTCATCTGCTCGTTTGATACCCCAAGAAATAAATCATAGTATTAAAAAAAAATACCAGGGCTCTCACATATAATGGGTGATAAAGGGCCTTTACGACCTATCGGATTGACTAATAAGTTTACCTTATGGTACCCTCTAAAGGCCAGCCAGTTTTCTGCTTTCAAGTAAGCAGCAGTTCTCGGCATTGTCTTAGCGATGCGAGGTAGAGACATCGAATCCATTCCTAGTATCAGTACGTTGTATTGCATTTTGCATTTCGTTGTCCTTTCCTTTGTATAGTTAATTTTCTTTGCAAAAGCATACATATCGTCGTAAATAATTTGTTTTGTCCCATTTGCACTGATTTCCGAACATATTACGTTGATAAAATCCGATTGCAATGTTATTATTGTTGCATCTTGAAAGTATGTGCAATTACTGAACCTAAAAAAAAACGTACATTATTTTGAATTGCAGGGGGCCGGAGTCATATCATGATATCATAAGTAGTCGATACACCGACGTGAAGCAATACTTTTTTTGTGAGGGAAATATATCATAAAATGACTTTTCGTCATTTTCGAGAGTTAGACTCTTACTGATTAAAAACTCCCCGTCCCTTCTCCTGCTCTGGGCTAAGGTCGCGGTGCCTCATTGCGCTTAGGTACCCCACAACCCCGGCTGAACGTCAGTCCTATAGGGCCCGTCTGTGGTGGTCTATTGAGGCAATGATTGTGTTGCGAATGGTGTTACTAGACGCCCCAACACCCCCATTCTAAAACCCCTAACAACACACAATAGCGGGCAACGCTTTTGTTACTCCGTTGGTGTTTCAGGTGTATATTGGCGTCGCTGATTGCTTTGAATGAGGTGATCCGTTTGCTCGTTTGCCGAGCTATCCCATTAAAAAACCTACGTATTTATTAAGTTTGTTTATGTTCTAAAGTAAACACTTATTCAATATGGTGCATTAGTCATATGAACCTATTTGCAAGAAACACTAAGTATTTTTTTTGAGAAGTAAAATCATGGCGACTTTTTCAATTGGGGGCCGGGGTGCGGCGAGAGGGAGAGAGGTAGAGAGAGGGTCAGGCCTTTACTTACAAAAACCATCCCGTTACTTCTCCTGCTCCAGGCCGGGTCCACGGCATTGCTCTTGACCCGCAACCCCGGCAACAAATAGTCACTTAGATAAGTGGGCAAGTCTGATTTAACTTTTTATCGACCAGAGGTTATAGTGTGTATGATTCTGAGTTTAAGTAGATGCAAAAATTCTGTAACTTACATTAATCTCGGACGATCATGTGGATATTGTACGGCGTCGACAATAAATCGATAACAGCATTGAATATTCGCGTTATTCATGGCATATTTCAATATTATTTGCATTTTTATTCGAGCTATAACTTTATCTTCGTTGTGTTTTCGTAAAAATACTGCCCGAACTCCACACATGTTGTTCTTGGTTTTAGTACTATTTACAACGTACTTTTCGTAATCGATCATGGCGATTGGTATTTTGCATACGGAAGTTTCGACCAATCCCACTAAAATTGAAAACAGATATGCATTAGGTAGGTACTTAGTTACTTTGTGATCAAGCTTAATCACGGTTCGCATCATGACTATGCACATGAGCATTATTAACCTCAGAGCCAAGATGCAAGAAAATTTAGGAGCTTTTTATACAATTAGGTATGCTGATTGCAGGGAAGCTAATGATCAGCTCAATAGGGTCACGACCCAAGGCCCTCTGCCAATAGAAAAAACCAAGACAGATAATCAGAGCCATCTCTAAGCACCATGCGTAGTGTTCAGCTTAATTAAGATACGTACCTACGTAAGTATTACCTAATTAGTAGTTTTGTTAGTTTAGTAATTACCTGGTTCAATTTGTTCATCATCTATGACATAATCATTTTGTGTACCATTAGAATGATTGTTCGGTTTGATAAAATCCTTGTACACTTCATCCAAAGGAATATGTCTCATAGGAGTTCCAAGCAAGTATTGTGCCCTTGGCGACTTCATAGTTGTCGGCCTTATTGTATTCCCTCTTAAACTAAATAAACTAGCCACAAATGCTATGAAAAGAATAGTTACACCGACAGCTATAATAATCTTTATTTGCTTCATGTTCCATTTTCTTGACAATTTTCGAAACCTGTAAAAGGTTAAAATGGGCACAGTAAAAAATACCTAATAATCTTGTCTCGGTCTCGTCGGTCTGCTTCTTAGTTCTGCTCCATGTTAAGTGCTCGCATTGAAGTGTAGAT